GATTCAAAGTTCCAGACAAGAGGATCTGATTGGCCAAGCTGGGTCACATGCCCCAGTCCTAGCTGCCAGGGGTTGGGAGACCTAGTATCTGTTCCCCTTATGCTCCCATAGTAGGATAAAAGGCCCTGCCTCCATCTAAAACTCACACAGTGAGGAAGTCCCCCAAATAGAAATGAGGTTTGCACATTGGTCAGCAACAGAAAAAGGACAGGTGTCTACTATACCATGGCTCAATAATGTAGCATCTGTATGCTTTGATAATACATTGTTCATAAAGACGGTAAAGCCAGTCTCTACAGTCACAAATCCAGTGCCATACATGAGGCAATCGTTGTTGTCAGGTGCCATCGAGTTGGTTCTGACTCATAGCAACCCCCTGTACAACAGAACCAAACACTGCCCTGTCCTGTGCCAACCTCACAATCACTGTTACGCTTCAGCCCACTGTTGCAACCACTATATCAATCCATCTCATTGAGGGTCTTTTTTTTTTATCGTTGTACTATAAGTTTACAATTCAAGTTAGTCTCTCATACAAAAATCTATACATACATTGTTATGTGACCCTAGTTGCTCTCCCTATACTGTGACAGCACACTCCTCCTTTCCACCCGATTTCCCGTGTCCATTCAACCAGCTCCTGACCCTCTCTGCCTTCCCTTCTCACCTCTGGACAGGAACTGCCTGTTTAGTCTCATGTATCTACTTGAGCTAAGAAGCATACTCTTCACAAGTATCATTTTATGTCCCATAGTCCAGTCTAATATTCGTCTGAAGAGTTGGCCTCGGGAATGGTTTTAGTTTGGGGCTAACAGAAAGTCCGGGGGCCATGTCTTCCGGGGTCCCTCCAGTCTCAGTCAGACCATTAAGTCTGGTGTTTTTACTAGAATTTGAGTTCTGCACCCTACTTTTCTCCTGCTCCGTCAGGGACTCTCTGTTGTGTTCCCGTCATGCTAACCTTCTTCCTTACTAAGCATGATGTCCTTCTCTAGGGACTGGTCCCTCCTGATAACATGTCCAAAGAAAGTGAGACAAAGTCTCATCATCCTTGCTTCTAAGGAGCACTCTGGCTGTACTTCTTCCAAGACAGATTAGTTCATTCTTCTGGCAGTCCATGGAATATTCAATATTCTTCACCAACACCACAATTCAAAGGCATCAATTCTTCTTTGGTCTTCCTTATTCATTGTCCACATTTTGCATGCATATGAGGCAACTGAAAATACAATGGCTTGGGTCAGGCACACCTTAGTCCGCAAAGTGACATCTTTGCTTTTTAACACTTTAAAGAGGTCTTTTGCAGCAGATTTGCCCAGTGCAATACATCGTTTGATTTCTTGACTGCTGTTTCCATGGGTGTTGACTGTGGATCTGAGTAAAATGAAATCCTTGACAATTTCAATATTTTCTCCATTGATCATGATGTTGCTTATTTGTCCAGTTGTGAGGATTTTTGTTTTCTTTATGCTGAGGTGCAATCCATACTGAAAGCTGTAGTCTTTGATCTTCATCACTAAGTGCTTCAAGTCTTCTTCACATGGGGCAGACTCATGATTAATGTCCATATGTTTGCCAGGAATTCTTGCTCTAAAGGCAGAAAAAAAATTACCAGACAAAATTAAATGTTAATCAGTTAGCAGATTCTTGGCACTGTCTACCCAAGGTCTTTTTAGAAGTTGTGGTTGAGCAGTGCATGCTCCCAGTTTGTCCTACAAGCCCTGCTGCTGGCCTGGATTTACCCAGGGGAACTTTCAACTCTTGGTCAAGTTTCCATTCTCCTCCTCAATCCTCCCACCTCAGAAGAGTAAGACTGCAGGCTTGGTTCCATCCTAGTCCACCGGTTACTCTGGAACTCTGGGATGTGGCTTCAGACCATGGCTCCAGCTCACCCACTGAAGGGCCTTCCGGATGAACCAGCTCAGCCTCTAGCTGTGGGAGGCTGGGAAGAAGAAGGAACAGATACCTGCTGGGAGGTCTTAGTAAATAGTGGTGATCTGCAAGGCAATCAACAGTACGGAGGTCTGCAGAGGAGCGTGCCTGACGGAAGAGAGCAAAAGGGGGAGTCTACTACTGCTGCTCGTTGCTTTCAAGTCGATTCTGACTCATGGTGATCCCACATGTTACAGAGTAGAACCACTCCATAGGGTTTTCTTGGCTGTAATCTATACGGAAGCAGATCTCCAGGCTTTCTTCCATGGTGCTGCTGGGTAGGTTCAAACCACCAACCTTTAGGTTAGTAGACGAGCACAAACTGCTTGCACCACCCAGGGACCTGAAAGGGGAAATATGGGTGGGTAACGTGGAGGTCAGAAGCAGGTTTCCTCATCCAAAAACAGCAGTAATAACTCTATGGAAGGACATAGAAAGTTGCAGCAATTTCACTTCCAGGAATTTATTCCATGACGTCCCTGGGTGGTTGGAACCTTTAGCATCTGGTTGCTAACCAAAAAGTTAAAGTCCACCCAGAGGTGTTGCACAAGAAAGGCCTGGCAATCTATTTCGGAAAAATCAGCCACTGAAAACCCTCTGGAGCACATTTCCACTATGACACACAAGAGGTTGTCATGAGTCGGAATCAACTCAATGGCAACTGGTTAATTTATTTCACAGATAACACTTGTGCAAGTGCATAAAGATATATGTACAAGGAAGTCCACTAAAGCATTGCTGGTGACCACAAAAAAAATGGAAATAACTGGTCCATCAATATTTAATATATTACTGTACAATCATAGTATGAGATATTATGCAAACATGAAAAATAGGTGGCATATAAATAGGTATAATATTGTTGATAAATTGAGAAAAGCAAGTACCAGAAGAGTTTGTATAGTATGATTCCATTTTTTTAAAAAAGAGAATATACAAACAGGCTTGTATATGTACAGAAAATATCTGGGAGGAGAACCTAGACATCATTTACTGTATTGATTCACAGAGTTAGTGATGAAGGGGAGGCAAGGAAAAGGAGAGCTTTACTTTTTACTTCATAACCTTATTTCCATTTGATTGTTTATTGTGAGCATGCAGTCTGTGTAGAGTTAAAACAAACGGATTAAAAATGTTGTAAAAGGGAAGAATAGCAGGAAAAAGGAGGAAAATTGGTTAGCATCAAGAGTCAAAGAGTCAAGAAATAACTTTTCCTCAAAGTGGCTCCCTGAGCCTGTGGGAAGGCAGACTTCTCTCAGTAAAGAACACTTTTCTGCTTGAAGGCCAAAGGGAAAAGCCAGCTGTGGGTAGTTTTTCTTCATGTTCCTCAGAGCCAGGCCTATACCCAGCTCAAGTGAGGACTGCCTTCTGCCTCTTGCCCAGCCATTTGGGCATACTGTGAGAGGCAAGTCAGGGGGAGGCACATTCTGGGCCTCATAGCACAGCCAGGCTCTGCCAAGTGTCGCCATGTAAGGATGCCCTCCTCAAATTTCTTTTTTTAAATAAAAATCAGTGGTTATTAAAAGCATGGGACTAGAGTTGGGCTCACATGGTTTGCAACCCTGGCTGTGATAAGGTAGTGATGTTGCTGGCAATAATTAAGAAGCCCAGGGAAGCTAGTTTGAGAACTGAACTGACCTTTTGAGTAGACAAATGACTAGACCTTACTAATGACCCCAGGTAGACTTTGTCTTCTTCTGGATGACCCCAAGCAGCCCCCAGAGCAAGAAGTGCAGGGTCGAGCTTAGGAAAGGGCTCAAGAAGAGAGGAGCTGTCCCTAACTTCCCACTGACATGGAGAATTTTTACCCACACAAACCCCTCCAGAAAGCCAGCCACAGATGCCTGCTAGGGAAGCACTGGGGGTGCAGACACCAGAGCTGATCCGACACACAGCTATTCACTCACTCTGGGGTAGTGTTTGCTTCCACCAGCAACCCTGGATCAACACTTCCCATGACCCCAAATCTTTCAGGTTGAAGTTTTCCCCTCTTCTGAGCTTCTAAGAGCTAACACCAACCAGTTCACCATTTGGAAAAGTGTGGAATTGAACCCATTTTTCTCCCACTCTCAGAACTAGGCAAGTGTGGGGACCTAATATGAAGGTCTGTGATGCACTTAAACCCTTCCGTTTTAATCCCTCTACTGCAGGAAAGGGAGTCCCTGGGTGGTGCAAATGGTTACTGTGCTCAACTGCTAACTGAAAGGTTGGAGGTTGGAGTCCACCAAGAGGTACCTCACAAGAAAGGCCTGGCAATCTACTTCTGAAAAATCAGCCACTGAAAACCCTACGGAGCACAGTTCTATGCTGACACACATGGGGTCACCATGAGTCAGAATGGATTTCACGGCAACTGGTATGCTGCAGGAAAAAGTTCAGCCTGGGAGTCCGCACGCAAACCTTACAAGACAAGGATGACTGGAAGGAGGTCTGGGCTGTCCCGGTGTGCGAGCCAGGCCCCAGTGCCGGGCGGATGAGGAGCCAGGACTGATGAAGGTCAACCATCTTTGGGCAGTTACCACCAAATCCAACCTGGGATGCGCGCCCAAGACCTTCTCATCCTTCTTCCCCCTTCTGCTCAGGTGTAGCACTGGTTTATCTTCCAATTGTAGCCCCCACAACTACAAAGGCAAGAATGCCTGTCCCAACTCCATCCTCACACCCCTTCTCCCCATCCCTCGAGGAACCTGGCTTTGTCTTCTCTTCCCGGTTGTACTGTGACCCTTTTTACATGACCCAGGAAAGATCCCACAGTAAGGCACCCTCGTGAAGGGACCTTCCACAGATCCCCGAAGAGGAGTCTCCTTTGGGCCGCCCCCCAACAGCAGCGGACCTGCCCTGCCCAGGTTCCACCTGTCATTTGAGGCCCCTGGCCGCCACCTCTAGTCTGGCCCTCAGCCTGGGGGCGGAGGTGCAAGGGCGACCGCGCGGCCGCCCAATCTATCCCCGGGTTTGGGGTGAGTCCTTGCCTAAGACCCCGGCAGCGCCAGCGCCCCTGTTCCCCACCCGCGCACTAACGCCCGTGGCGACCGGAATCCCCGGCCTCGCTGCGTTCGGCGCGGAAGTCCGACACAGCAGGGTCCCGGCGGTCGGGCGGCGCGGCACGCAGCGCTCCAGGCCGGAGTTCCGCACGCCCGCCGCTGGGTGCGGCGAGGACTCGCGGCAGCGCCTGCCTCGGTGGCCGCGCTGGTAAGTTAGCCGGGGGACCGGAAGGATAACGAGGAAGTTGGAGAGGGTTTCCTGAGATGAGAGATTACTTCCGTCCGGGCTCTGGCCTCTCTCCGGAGCTGGCTCGCGGGGGGTCGGGCTCGGGGCGCGCGGGGCTCCGGCCACGCCTTGCCACCTGCAGCGGCCTGGGCGGGCGGGACGCGCTCGGCCTTGTCCGAGGGGCTAACGCGGGGGATTTTTGCAGGTGGGAGTCGAAGGCATTTCAAAGCGCCTAAGCCATGGTGGCCAAACAGCGGATCCGGATGGCTAATGAGAAGCACAGCAAAAACATCACCCAGAGGGGGAACGTAGCCAAAACCCTGGTAAGGCGGGGCGGCGCCGGCCGGGCTGGCCCGGGCGGGCCGGGTGGGGCGGC